AAAAAGTTGCATTCCGTCGAGTCGCTGGGATCCGTGTCGGTCATCTGTTCTGATAAAACAGGTGTGTTGTGTATCTCTTGTACTCCTTGGAAATCTTACCGGTCATCAGGAACACTGACGAAAAACGATCAGACGGTGACAGAGGCTTATACTGTCGATGAGACGATTGTTCTTGATCCCAACTCTGCGACATATGCGGCGCCAATCTCGCCTGCGCTCAGGAAGACTCTGGACATTGGTGCAATCTGCAACAACGCCTCGCTGGTACGCAATGAGGACGGGCAGTTTGTCGGACAGTCAACGGATGTCGCTCTTCTCAATGTTCTCGGGGTATTTGGGCTTCCAGACCGCCGACAGGTACAGTTTTCCCTCTCAAACTCTAAACAGCTTTGTGACAGACAGCTCCCAATAGCATTTTGAACGCGTATACGAACGCCCCTTCAACTCGGAACAGAAATACATGGCCGTATCTGGCTACCACCGTGAAACCGCTGGAAATTCTCCCGTCGGCTCGCTTAGCGTCAACGGCGTGGGGAGGGAGATGTACTATATCAAAGGCACCATTGAAGCCATCCTCGATCGGTGCAAATTCTACTATGTAAACGACGAATCGACACCAGCGCTCGACGCGAACACGCGCAACGTGATACTCAACAAGGCGCACGCGACCGCCACCCGGGGCCTGCGCGTGCTCGCGATGGCATACGGGTTCGTCGGCGCCGACGAGCGGCCGCCCTCGCGGACGACGACCTCGCGCGGGACGTCGCCCGCGTCGAGCGGCGTGGAGAAATGCAATCTCGTGTTCGCGGGCTTCCAGGCGATGCTCGACCCGCCGCGGAAGGGCGTCGCGGACTCGATTGCGCTTCTGCAGAGCGGCGGGGTGCAGGTGGTGATGATCACGGGCGACTCGGAGCAGACGGCGCTGTCGATCGCGCAGAAGCTTGGGATGCGTGTTGGGCGGGGGGAGGCGGCGGCGTCGAGTTGTCTTACGGGGAAGGCGATTGATCAGATGACGAAGGCGCAGTTGAGGGAGAGGGTTGGGAGTGTTAGTGTGTTTGCGAGGACGACGCCGAGGCATAAGATGGCGATTGTTGAGGCGTTCCAGGCGAGGGGGCAGGTGGTGGCTATGACGGGTGATGGAGGTGCGTGACCTTTGTCTCTGTGCATTTGAAGTGTGAGGGTGTTAATGTCTCTGGTGGTTTACAGTGAACGATGCGCCCGCGCTGAAGATGGCCGATATTGGGGTTTCGATGGGTAAAAGCGGCACGGATGTCGCGAAGGAGGCTGCGGATGTGATTTTGGTCGATGATAACTTTAGCACTATCCTTCCTGCGGTTGAAGAAGGCGAGTACTGTCTCGGACGCATCTTGTTGTATGCATGCATGCTGATGGTTCTTTTGCTCCTCGGATTATAGGCAAATCGATCTTCCATAACATCCAAAACTTCCTGTCGTTCCAGTTGAGCACAGCTGCTGCCGCACTAACGCTGATTACACTCAGCACGATGCTGGGGCTCAGTAACCCCCTAAACGCCATGCAAATCCTCTTCATCAACATTCTCATGGACGGTGCGTTTCTTTTTTTTCTTCTCCGCGGCGAGTCGTTGGGCTTGGAAATTAAGCTCACTCGTATTCCTAGGCCCTCCCAGTCAAAGTCTCGGCGTTGACCCCGTGGATCCAGTCATTATGAGACGCCCGCCACGCAAGAAGAATGCTCCGATTATTACGAGGCGGCTACTTTTGCGTGTTCTGTTCTCGGCTTCAATCATTGTCGTTGGGACACTGTTTGTTTACGTGTACGCTCTGGGCGATGACCATATGTCGCGGCGGGAGCAGACAATGGTGAGTCAGCACGCTTTCTTTCTTTCTTTTCTTTTCTTTCGGTTGGTCCGAAACGGGGTGTTATCCGTGATTTACGGCGTTCGTTCATTTGCCCAATGCCAAAATGGCGGGTAGTAATCTCCGTCTCGTCTGAGTTTTATCTATCGCCTTCCATGGCTGAAACTGACAACTTCATTCATTGTTTCAATCAGACATTTACATGCTTCGTTTTCCTGGACCTCGTATCGGCAGTGCAGAACCGCGGGCTCGGGTGCGGTCTGTTCCAGAACAAGATGCTGGTGGGCACAGTGTCTGTGTCTGCGCTGACGCAGCTCGCGCTCGTCTATGTTCCGTTTATGCAGCGGATATTCCAGACAGCGGCGCTGAGTCTGACTGATTTGTCTGTGATCTTGTCACTTGCGGCGTTAAGTCTCGTGTTGCATGAAGGCCGGCGGTCTTATGAGCGCAAGCTGAATGCAGAAGAGGCCTATGCAATTGTGATGGAGGAAATGGCGTAGCGGTTTTCGGCAGGTGGTCAGCGATATGATACAAATGTGTTATTATTTTTTTATATATTTGTACAATCTCATACCAAAAGTAGCGAAAGCACCCTAATTTCACGGAAAAACCCTGTGCCCTCACGGAATACCATAGGCTGTTGAATCCCGCAGGTGACTTGCGTGTGATTTAAGGCTGCTTGAACCGTAGAGCCTCCCGAGGTATGTGATCGGTCATTTGATGATGTCCGCCATTCGGAGAAATTCCAGAGACATATCTATCTATCTATCTCCACAACGGGGCTGGAAAAGTAACTTGTAGAATTAGGAAGGGTATTTGCAGCAACTCAAATGGGTGCCATGGAATGCTCTGATGCCTAATATGACATGGGAGAGGGGCTAGTGGAAATAGCGAAGAAGACCGGACGACTGTGGGTGCAGATGGGGACACATGACTGCTTTTGCGATCGAAGAGATTAAACTTGGTGAACGATAACATGTGCTCTTATGAGGAAGCTGTGTACGGGTTTGCGCTCCCACCATCACAGAGAGACGTCTCCCTCGCCGCGGGCGACAGCTCGGGAAGCCTTCTTTACGCCCTGACAACCTTTGTGCTCCGCTTTGGCTCGATCTTGATCGGCTTCGACACAGACGTAACG